TACCTTGGCGAAAGTGCGCCCGTTAAAGAGCAGCGCGCCGGCGCCCGGGGCGGCCGCGGGGTCCGGCTGCAGCAGCGCGTGGGGGCCCGGGCCGTGGCGCCACTCGCTCACCAGCACCACGTGCCGGTCCTCGTCGTAGAGGCCCGCGTGCGGGTCCACGTCCTCCGGCTGCCGCACCACCAGCGCTCCGAACACAGACTCCACCGCCGGAGACCCTGCGGAGGCAACCCTTCAATGGCCTGCGTACGAAATGGCCTTCTACTACAACTCAATGTAGTAGCATCCATTCACATCAAGATCGAATACGAGTATATCTCGTACCTTTACATTGATCCCCGTACAATGAAGTTCCCAAGAAACTATGTAAATCGAAAAGTTACACGGCGAATATTACATTAAAAATGTAACCAATCAAAATCGAACACTTGCGGTGGCTGTACTATTATCGGTCAAATCAATCTACTTACCAAATACAACCACTAAAATGTCAAAGTAATTATATAAAATAGTGAAACTCATGGCCTGAAATGCAACTCTAGGAATTAATTTAGAACTGTATATCTGATTCTGAAGTTATACTTTTTAGAATGAAATAATGTGAAATTGGCTCACACTGAAATTTGTAAGAAATTACTTCCCACACTTTTCTTAATTAATATGGTGAGACTCATAACTTAAGGACTTCATATGACGACTGCAAGAAAGAAATATTCAATATATCCTTTGAACACCCTTCCAACCTGAGTGATTTTGTCGTATTCATGGGCTACAAGGTTGAGCACAATAAAATATATTTTTTAAATGTCTTCTATATAGCCTTCGTACAAAAACTTTACCTGTGATACACTTAGCAACGATTTGTTAGATCTCATGAAAAAAACAAAATAAAATTATTCTGAGCCTGCTAAGAATTCTAGAAGTTAGCGATTTTATTTTTTCCACTGCTCTAACGGTCAACACTTCAGAACACAAAAACATTGTACAATAAATCACAATTCCTGCGGCAGGCCATTGCTCTAGAAAAATAAGCCAAGCTGATTTTCCAGTCTTCACGTTTCATCCCATGACCAAAACAAGTTCAATATCAAGTGCTGAAGGTAAATTCAACAACGTAAAGAAATCCACTAGAGCTGGCCAAGTGCTCGGGAGAAAGTGAAAAGCAAATCACCTGCTTCACAAGTAGACAGGCTTCTGATGTTGCGCTCGATACTCACGTGCAAGAGTGGAAGACATTTCTTACGTACGACTTCTTACGTAAGCCTTCAGAAAACAATAAGTCGTAAGACGATTGGGACTTATCTAATTGTATTAGGAAAAAGTTACTAAAAAGTTGAATAATGTCGAAAAATATATTTTTAAAATAAAATTAATGCTTTAGACTTACTAATAATTCATTCAATATAGAAAAAATAATATTTTTTGTGATTGAAGATGCAGTAATGTACAAACGAAATCTTCGTTTTATAAATCCATTTTTCCCATTACCAAGTTAATAACTATGCAATTACGCAATACTATACTATTTACGTCAAAAATAGATATACTATTGTTTAAGTAAATTAACAAGTTCTTTACTATCAATAGATTTTAATATTTAAATAATAATTTAATTAATGGCCACCATTTTGATCGGGAAAAATCAATTTTGGTTCAGGTTCATGGGCGGACGAATAGTCGCAGTGCTGTTTTGCTGACAAAAAATGTTTTGGTATCAAGGATCTATAAATGTTATTCTGAGGTCACAACTTGTTTAAAAAAATACTACATATGGAAATAATATTTATCCACTTTTTCAGTGTCAGGGCCATCCCAATACGTGTTTTTCTGCCGAAAAAGCGCAGTTTTATGCCAAACACTTAATGTAGTAGTAAACTGTCTGTACATTACTACATAAGTAGCATGTGAGAAAGTAAAAACTTGACGCTGTTAGGTACTCCAGCATTAAATGATCATGTGACAGTCATTTCGATCTAAACACAATACAAACTAAAATATTTTTTTTGTCATATTTCGTGCTGTTACTTTCGCCCTAAACTTATAAGAATATTTGAGTTACACAAGTACAAACATAAAAATATAGCAATATGGTTATTCTTCAGGATTTCAAAACCATCCAAATTATTTGTGTAGCAATTTCAGGCAACCTCGCACTGAGTACAGCAATGGGACTTGATTATTTCGAATTAGCACTGTTGAACTTACGCCGTTTTGAAACTACACACATACACGTACACACTTCACGTAAGAAATATTACCCTGTTTCCGAGAGACTGACATAAAATATAAGTAGCGATATATTCTGAAATAGTTGCGTGAAACCACACCCATTGGCCGCCCTCATAGTGAATCGTAAAACTTCCCGCATATCTACTCTCCCTTTCTGCAAAGAAACTCCTTTCTCCTCCTTCTTTGCACACGCCTCTATTCATCTGTCCAAATACAAAGCGCGCCTTTCAAAAGAAGTTGCCACATGCTGAATTGCCTGTTACGGTGTAATAACGTGACTGAAAAGATGCTTCGGTGCTGCAACTAATGCAATAGATCGCCCTCGAAAAGTGACAACACTTTAAAGACTGTCGAATGTAAAGTACTTTTCAGAGTAATACTTTCGTTTCAAGATGCATAATTTCATTCACCTACACCGCTTGCAAACTTTCGAGAAAAAACGCTGAAGCCAAGTATATTGCATTAGGCACAAGCCGTGTTAATGAGTAAGTATAAAATAGGAAGACACCCTAATAATAAATTTGCTTGGACACCCTAATAATAAATTTGCTTGTCATATCACAAACACTTACCGCGGGTTGGCAATAATTTGGGTCATTGCGAAAAAGTAACACGCGAATTTGTCAGTACCTGCGACCTGAAGCCGCAGACCGCCAAAGCCACAAAATCTGCGAGTTCCGAGGCACAAAAGAAACTCCTCAAAGAGGAATTATTTGTAAGAAGATGTTTTTTAATAGGCAAAACATTTCAAGAAACAAATTTACGTATTTTTTATGGGAGAAAACTAATTTTTTAATTGAAAATTAATTTTAGAAATTAAAGATTACTTTTTATTTCATTCTGTGAATTTTGTGATGTAGAAGTGGGTAAAAGAAACCAATATTTCAAATTACAGTACTTGACAATGAGTCCAACATACAACAAGAGATTCAATAAATAATTCAATAAAATATTAATCTACAATATTCCTACCGAGGTATAACAAGCGGTGCTCCAACATGTACTTTTTAACATTATTACGAAATATGACGGGAAATCCTAGTATTATATTTCGGAATATTAGTGAAATTGCCGTTATTTCCACGCAAATTGACGCGAAAACCACTCATATTTTTGAAATGTAGCATATGGTCTCATTTAAAGATATCTTTGAAGGGCAAATTTCATTTAAAAAATACATCTTCAATCTTGCAGTTGTAGAAAGAAGCCGAAAAAGTTTTTGCATCTTCAAAAATTCCTACTACACGACTACACAAAGTGTTCGACAGAGTTATATACTACATATAAGGTGACTCCTTCTCTTCTTCGGTAACAGGGCTCTCACAGTAAGTTTTACTGTAAAAAAATGCGGTTTCTTGCAGCAGCATTACAATCCTTCTATTTACTTCGTAAGTAATATGCGATAAAGTAAATGATAACAAACAAAAAAATATTTATTTACACAGAGGTCCAATTCTTTAAGGTTTCGATAGAAAAGCTTTATGAGACTGAGTCTATGTGGAATTTCGCCCCAAATGCAGCTTAATTGATTTAAGTTCTTTCAGGCTCTTAAGTGAACAGTTTTGAAGTGCGTTTAAGTGTAACGCAGTTCTCTACTGTACAGACTTCGCGGTTTAAAAATGTCTCGCCTCTCATAAGTTGTTACATGGTCGGTGCCAAGAAAAGTCTCATTTTACAAGAAAATGTTTTTTTTTCCTGAGCGAAGCTGTTCATTCATTTAGCAGCTAAAGGCGAAGTGATTTTGTAGTTATTTGTTTTGGGCTATATCGCTTTGTAACCTTTCGTTTTTTCCGTGGACCCGTCTCTCCCGGCTTCCGCAAACCTCACGTTGCCCGCGGGTTCTTGGGACATTGCGCTCCGGCGTCCCTTCCCAGATTTATTTTTGCATTACCGGCTTAAGTAGCTCAGGGCATCAACGTCATGCCGGCTCACGTCACTGCAGTGTGTCTGACCAGGATGTCCTATGGTTCCAATCCCGATTGGTGACAGGATTTTCGACACTAGATAGATAGCTTGGTCGAGTTCGGCCTCTGTATGAAAGAGAATTCTAGTGGCCGGCTGCTCTGATCGGTAGTTTTCCGTCGTCAACGCCGTCCAGCAGTCCCCTTACGAATACGACACGGACCGCGCGCGATCTTTCCTTCATCTTCCTTGTTCTATACTTACCCCTTTCACACAAACTCACATACACACACACTAGCATGCCCTACAGAATCACACGTGCTGAGAGACCAGTCGAGAGCTTAGAGTTTGTCTCGGCTGGGGCATTGCCCCCACTGGAGGGAGATACCTGGTTTGGGAAACCCCGCGAGAAGACAGGTAGGTCGGCGTTGGATCTCGCCATCCAGCGGGGGAAAATCACCACCACCTCCCGCGATACAATATGCACTAAACTTACGAGACAATTTTAGCAGTGGACGCTCACGGAATCCTTCATCAATAAATCAATCAGTCCTTTTCATAAGGCCAAGAAGGGAGTCCCTCCCATCGTGGCCCCCAGAGAAGGCCTGTAGGCCCTTCTCAGACCGTGGAAATGTTATTTTAATCCCGAGGAACCTGATCAGTCGATCTCGGTTGCCTATAGTCAGTTAGAAGAAAGAGTACCGATGAAAGCAAAAACTTTTGCTCTACAGTAGTGGTAAAAAACCGCATCGCCCTTTTCACAGTTGAAATCTGTAATATAATCCTAAAAACACCCCACTTGATTTGCAAAAATCGAGCGAGTTATGAATTTAATATAATCAGAAACATCACATAATCCACGTAAAATATATGATTACCAATTTCTACTAATAGTTGTTTAAAATGTTTGAGAGCAGATTGGTTTAGCAAATACAGATATCCCATTTTCTTTAGGTGATGCGGTTTTTTGCGAACTACAGTATATAAGGGCTGCTTTGTGAACAATTTTATGAATTATTTATTAGGAAAAATGTGCTATTTCCCAAAGTACTTTTTTTCCCAATTAAAAAAGAAAACAATTTATGTATGTGACAATTTTCTTGTGCAGTATCGAAATGTATTAGAGTTATTAAGCTTCCGTCCCGTGCGGTACCTGTGAAGGCCTGGTAGAGGTGCGTGCCGGCGGAGGAGGCGCGGAACTTGTACTGGAAGATGGTGTTGCTGGCGATGGGGCACTGCGTCACCATGGGCACGCCGTCCATCATGGGCGACTCGTGCTGCGACTGGCCGCGCCAGTGCACCGCCAGCTCGTGGCCCGGCGCGCGGTTCATCACGTCCACCAGCAGGATGTCGCCCGCGCACACCTGAAACACGCCACGCACACTTTTGGATTCTCTCCGATCATATTCGTATTCTGTTTACTTACGTGTTATTAATAAGCTGTTCCGACAACAAAATTGTATCAAAAAATTTCGAGCCACATATTGAAAGTCGGAGGGTCTTCATGTAAAGTACCCCCAAAATAAAAATATCTCTTTCAAATTCCAAAGGTTGCCACATCAGTTACATCTATTAAGAAATATCAGGTTTGGAGAAAATTGGCCGAGCTGTATAAACACTAACGTTAACCACAGACGGACAGACAAACGGAAACACAGATGTTTTGTTGTCAATCGATTCATTGATATATATTAAAAGTCGCATATCAACGGAGGGAGGGTCAACAACGCATTCCAGTGAAATTTCTGTCCTCTATCTTTGATTAGACAAGTAGTTACTGTTCCGTTGCTAAGGTCTTTTATTATTACAACTTTTTTAAAATCTCAGTGATTGTTTCTGCTTTCAGCGCTTATCGGATGTATACAAAACAATTCGAAACGTGTCGTCGACGTAGTCAGTTTGTCGGAACTCTGACAGTTATCTTACAGTCACGCCAACCCATGAACACATTGTGGGCTTATTTTTCAGTCATTGTGGTCTTTTTTCGTAGTATGTTTCGCTGCACAGGAACGTTTCCTGTCTAAACTCCCTCCCCTATTAGTGTCCTCCGAGTTCTGATATGGCATTGATATGGTTCATTATTATATCCTATATATTAATGTATTGAAGTTTTCTCGAAAGACAAGGTGGTTCATTATTGTATTCGATGTCATCACGTGTATCGCCAAAATCAATACAATACCATTTATCATAAAGGCATACATTTGGAAAGAATGCCAAAATGTTAAAAAGTGATTGTATAAAATAAAACGCATAATTATTAAAATACCATTTATATGCTCATTAGAAATTACGGCACTATCAAAATCATGAATAACCAACGAACTTGCATACAAAGATCTCTTTTAGCTTCTTTTGTGATAAACAACCAATATTTTAATCTACTGCTCAGTTCAATGAACGTGGGTAATCATTTACCATTTATTCAATGTGCATTAGCAACCAGTAGACCAACAGTGAGTGCAGCTTACCTGTAATCGCGAACCATACTACATGTCGTTATGATATAATTAGGGGTAAAAATCAAACGTTTCAGAGGGATTGCGTATTGCAATCATTCCCATCCGGATTTTGTAAACATGTATCGAAACCTGCCGGGAAATATCACCATAGATTTAATGAGATACAATCGACAAATGTCTTGCAACATTACTTAAAGAAGGCTTAATTAATGTTTGCTTAAGCAATGGCACTTCTCCTTAATATAAGTTTTATTTGAGCAAATGTGCAATACAAGTTACATTTGCACCAAAATAATATAAAGAAAATACACATAAAGGATATCACAGGAAAAATAGTAGGAAGACAATAGTAGCAAACATTACTAGTACACTAAAACAATGAGACATCGTAGATACTTCACATCTAAAGTTCTATTAAAGTGCTAAACTAAAGGTTTTACGTAGTATTGAAAGAATAATTGAAGTAAATTATAGTGTATAGAGAAGTGGCATCTAATTAACATTATATCAAAGAGTTGTTCATGACTATTTTCCAGAGGGCTGTTTTAAAATCAGAAATGACTAGTAACGAAATCATGAAGGATAGAAAGTAGCCGTTTGTCTGTCATCTCCAATCATATATCCGGTAATTGGTTAAACAAGTGCGGAGCCAAATAAGAAAAGGATGAAGTAAGTAGTGGTTAGCAACAACTCGAAAATGATAATTTAGAAGCATATCTAGTGCAGAATGACCTCCTAGCGAACCAGTCTCACAAAAAAGTTACTTGATCACGAAGATAAAGTGCGTTGCCAGTTTTAAGAACTTTAATAATAAGGTAAACGATTTGTGACCAGATTCTCTGTCTCACCTGTAATCTGAATAGCCAGAGATATGTGATCGTACTTTCTGTGCTCTTCTTCAAGAAGGCTTTGTTGTAGCCGAGCAAGCGTATGTGACTGTGAATTTATAGTTAAGGAAGCGAGGATAGCTAGTTTTTTAAATTCGAAGATTGAGAGCTTTAAAGATCAGTGAGCGAGCATGACATCTGTGTCGAGCAATCATTTGAAACATGTCTCTTTAAGAAAAGCTGACGGAATTATAATTACAAGAGAAGGGTCACGTTTTTAAATTAAGGTGGGAAAAATGCAATAACATTCTACAGAATTTTCGGCTATAGTCGACTTTAACACTCGCATCCAGATCTTGGTATACATAAATCATTTTAAAAACATTTTCAGAACAGTTTTACCTTAATTTTCACAGTGAATGGTAGTTGAGTTGTTCCAGAATTTTTAAACCTCCCTCAACTCATTAGCCTTAGTGAATTAGTACTAAATGACATGAAACAATATTTTGGGGAAGTATAGTGCATAGGTTGTACTTTTGGGTTGTAACTTTCCTACAGTTCTCTCGCTTTACGATGTAGTCGCAAAGGTTAATCTAGTTCAAACTTAATTTCCTCTATCTCTTCCACTATTATAACCAGAAGCTTCTTTCTCAATGTAATGTGTCTCTCAATTGAAAGACATTATGCAGAACGACACCCATCCCACACAATTTTAAAAATCGAGCAATGGTGCTCTTTTGAAATACTGCTACAACTTTCTAAGCCTCTTCTCATACTGATCACTGCGGTTTGAAAGTTTTCTTCATGACTACATTCAATTGTAGACCTTTAAATGATGTTACGCGCGATTTTTTTAAAATCTGAGTAATTGCTGATTCTAACAGTTGGCATATTGTTGACAATAACAATAAGAGAAGGAAATGTTTCGGTGTGCCTCACATTGTCACGAGTGCTTATTTTCATTTCTCACTAACGATATTTTTTAATGAGAAAACATGCAAACAGTCCATGATTCAAACAGTGACTTTTTTAAAGATTATGTAAATGAATTATTTTGTTATACAGATCATTTATTACATTTTATAAAAAAACATTGTTTTGAGTTTATTGACTTTTAAAGGAAGCATGCTTGGACGATCCAAGATAAACGAGCAGATCTTTATTTTTGAACTTCGAATGGCCAGATACGGAAGCCTGAAAACTCCTAACAGATGGGAGAATACACGTGGAAGGTGTGTGTCAACCTGTTTAGTCGGAACGACATCCTAACCTGTATATCGAATAGCACGTATTACTTAGGAGCTTTACTGTAATAAATCTCCTAGAATATTGCGATGGAATCATTTCCCAGTCGTGAGACAGACTCGTTTTCACAGTTTCGTACTCTTTTTCCTTGTTATTTTCCCGTTGTCTACTCTGTGCAATGTCATGTTTTTCCTAACACTACATGCTATGTTGACATACTAGCTAACTAGACTTGCTAACAGAAGTTCTGATTGCTCTGGCAGTGTCAGGGTTATAATTCATCTAACAGAAAACAAAATCATGAGAATGCTAATGACCAACTGTTGAAAATCGACTTAAAATAAATAAGTAAAATAAAATAAAAATGATGAAAAAAACGGAAACTGTACCGTTTTCCGGCATAATGTTAGACGTGATATCAAATGATTGAATACCATTACCAGAACCTGTCATTACTTATTTGCATGATGCGCATAAAGAGAGTTGTTGCAAGACGAATGGAAATCGAGAGCCACAGTACTGCATTACCAGCGAAAACTGCTAGTTAATATCTAAAAGCTTTATTTCGACAACTTTCTCGTGTTTTAGGAAATCTTTTATAACCATTGTGCGACAACCTCTCAAACGAATTTATTTTGACATCGAAGTATCACAGAAACATTGGATTCGCAACAGACGTATGATTAATTGCAATTGTCGTCAAGTCAAGGATGCATAAATGTATTCTTTGGAAAGTGATTTATACTGAATGTGGTTTAAATTAATCGATATATAAATTAAGACTGCAGACTGCATTTCAAAAGTATCCCTTTTATATATATATATATATTGCGGCGTTATGGGATTGTGCAACCCCATAACACCACCGTCTCACGTGTGAACACTACGGAAGCAGCGAGGATGTCGTTATGATATAATTAGGGGTAAAAATCAAACATTTCAGAGGATTGCGTATTGCAATCATTCTCATCCGCGATTTTGTAAACATGTATCGAAACCTGCCGGGAAATATCACCATAGATTTAATGAGATACAATCGACAAATGTCTTGCAACATTACTTAAAGAAGGCTTAATTAATGTTTGCTTAAGCAATGGCACTTCTCTTTAAATATAAGTTTTATTTGAGCAAATGTGCAATACAAGTTACATTTGCAACAAAATAATATAAAGAAAATACACATAAAGGATGGATCGCAAGTAAAAAATAGTAGGAAGACAATAGTAGCAAACATTACTAGTACACTAAAACAATGAGACATCGTAGATACTTCACAAATCTAAAATTCTATTAAGTGCTAAACTAAAGGTTTTACTAGTATTGAAGAATAATTGGAGTAAATTTATAGTGTATAGAGAAGTGGCATCTAATTAACATTATATCAACAGTTGTTCATGACCATTTTCCAGAGGAGCTGTTTTAAAATCAGAAATGACTAGTAACGAAATCATGAAGGATAGAAAGTAGCCGTTTGTCTGTCATCTCCAAATCATTATCCGGTAATTGGTTTAAACAAGTGCGGAGCCAAATAAGAAAAGGATGAAGTAAGTAGTGGTTAGCAACAATTCGAAAATGATAACTTAGAAGCATATCTATGCAGAATGACCTCCTAGCAACCAGTCTTCAAAAAAGTTACTTGGTTGCACAAAATAAAGTGCGTTACAGTTTTAAGAACTTTAATAATAAGGTTAACGATATGTAACAGATTCTCGTCTTCATCTGTAATCTGCATAGCCAGAGATATGTGATTCGTACTTTCTTATATCTCTTCAGAGGCTTTATGTAGCCGATCAAGCGTATGTGATTCTGAATTTATATTAAGGAAGCGAG